AGAAATAACCCTCTTTTGATATTCCCACCTCACTACAATATCGCTCACTCTCTATTTTTCTCACCGACTATTTTTCTTATACTCTGTCTGTGATGACTCACTCTTTCTTTCTCTCTTTGTTGGTGTATTTTACAATGAGAGCAAGACACATGTTTATAGTGTATAGGATTGTTTCATTTATGTCATCAATGATCTCATGAGTTTGGCAAGGGTCAAATATTCAATGTGAAACCAAAGAAATATTTGCCATAAAATCTTCCTTACTATTCCTTTAGTTGACTTTACATTTCAAAGCCAAAAGGAAGATGTCTTCCTTACACATGGGATGAACCTATCAAATCTCCCCCTCCAATCCCATGCACCTAAAGGAGTTAACTCTAGTTTTTCATATAGAGTTCATGCCGACAAGTTCTTTGCATAGCTCGAACTTGTCTCTTGGTACCACCGTGGTCAGCATATCCGAGTGATTCTCACTTGTATGGATCTTCAAGACTTTTAGAGATTCATTCTCTACCATTTCTCGAATTCAGTGATATCTCGTGTCGATGTGTTTGGTCCTTTCATAGTACATGGAGTTCTTGCTAAGGTCTATTGCACTTTGACTGTCATAATAGACGACATACTCCTTCTGATGCAATCCAAGCTCTTGAAGGAACCGTTTCAACCATATCATCTCCTTGCCAGCTTCAGTAGTGGCAATATACTCCGCTTCAGTTGTAGAGAGTGCGACACACTTTTGTAATTTCGACTGCCATGATATAGCTCCACCTAAAAATGTGAACAAATATCCAGTAGTGGATTTTCTGTTATCAATGTCACCTGCCATATCAGCATCTGTATAGCCCTTCAAGGTTGGATCAGATCTTCAAAAGCTTAAACAATCTCCTGTGGTACCTCTCAGGTACCTGAGTATCCACTTGACTGCTTCCCAGTGTTCTTTTCCAGGATTTTCAAGAAACCTGCTGACAACACCAACTGCATGAGCAATATCAGGTCTAGTGCATACCATTGCAGACATCAAGCTTCCGACTGCAGAAGAATAAGGAACTCTAGCCATGTTCCTTTTCTCCTCCACTATTGTAGGACACATCTTCTTGCTCAACTTTAGATGACTAGCAAGAGGTGTGCTGACTGGCTTAGCATTCTTTATGTTGAAGCGTTCCAGTATACGTTCGATGTACTTCTCCTGAGACAGCCACAACTTTCTTGCTTGTCCGCTCTAGAACTATCTTCATGCCTAAAATTTGTTGTGCTGGGCCCAAATCCTTCATATTAAATGACTTGGACAGATCTCCCTTCAACTTTGCGATCAACCCATTGTCGTTTCCTACAATTAACATGTCATCCACATACAACAATAATATAATAAATTATTTTCAGAAAATCTTTTGAAGTATACACATGGATCAGAATATGTCTTTGTGTAAGTTTGACTTTTCATGAATGAGTCAAACTTCTTGTACCACTACCTTGGTGCCTACTTCAACCCATAAAGGCTCTTATTCAGTTTGCACACTATGTGTTTCCTTTCAGCTACTTCAAATCCTTCTGGTTGCTCCATATAAATCTCCTTTTCCAAATCTCCATGAAGAAATGCAGTTTTCACATCCAACTGCTCCACTTCAAAATCTAGGCTAGCTGCTAAGCTCAAGATTGTTCAAATAGAAGTCATTTTGAAAACAGGTGAGAAAATTTCGTCAAAATCAATACCTTTTTTCTGTTCGAAGCCTTTAACCACCACTCGAGCTTTGTATCTGACCAGCTTGCCGTTTCCATCTTTCTTGAGTTTAAAGACCCACTTATATTTGAGTGTTCTTTTATTCTTTGGAAGTTCAATCAGCTTGTACGTGCCATTTTCTGCAAAGATTCCATCTCCTCTTGCATGGCTTTCATCCACTGGTTCTTTTCTGGATGAGACAATACCTCCGTAGGACTTTCTAGCTCCCCATCATCATTGATGAAGACATACTCTATGGAAGGGTACTTGCATGACTCTACCCTTGGCCTCTATGATCTCCTCATAGGTTGAGGTTGTTCTTCTTCCTGAGTAGGGTACTCCACTTGTTCGACATCATTATCAAGTTGCTCCCCATGCTCAATAACCTCACCGGGTTGCTCCCCCTGCTCGGCAACCTTGTCGGTCCTACTTTCTGTACTTGTGGGATTGTTAGAAGTAGAAGGAATAGTAATAAGTTTAGGAATTATATCATTCTTGGCCTTCTCTGGCATATCATCAGCAGTTCCAACTACACTTTCTCGGAAGACTACATCTCTGCTTCTGATGACCTTCTTCTTTACAAAATCCCACAATCTGTATCCGAACTCTTCATCTCCATATCCAATGAATATGCATGAAACAGATTTATCATCCATCTTTGTTCTCTGATCCTTTGGTATATGTGCAAAAGCCTTGCAACCGAACACCTTCAGATGCGAGTAGGACACCTCTTTGTTGGTCCAAACTCTCTCTGGGATGTCAAAGGCCAACAGAGCTGATGGACTCCTGTTGATCAGGTAACAAGTTGTCTGAATTGCTTCACCCCAAAATGACTTAGGCAGTTTAGCCATTCTGAGCATGCTTCTCACCTTCTCCACAATGGTGCGATTCATCCTTTCGGCTACGCCATTGTGTTGTGGGGTTCCAGGAACTGTCTTTTCATGTCTGATCCCATGGCTCGAACGATACTCTTCAAATTCCCTTGAACCGAACACCTTTAGCTTTTGACATGTCTCCCTTTCCACCATAGCATGAAACGTCTGGAAAACCTGAAGCACGTGATCTTTGGTTTTCAAAATATAAACCCATCATTTTCGTGAAGCATCATCAATAAAAGTAACAAAATATTTGTTACCACCTATATATTCAATTTTCATTGGACTACAAACATCAGAATATACCAAATCGAGTATATTCAATTTTCTTTCAGACGATGTCTGAAATGAGACTCTATGCTGCTTACCAAATAAACAGTAGTCACAAGGTTTTATCGTTGTATTTTTGGCATAAGAAATGAGTGATTTCCTGGCAAGAATTTTCAATCCCTTCTCGCTCATATGACCCATCCTTTTGTGCCACAAATCTGCAGAAATCTCATCCTGTGCCGCATTCAATTCACCTTGGCATATTTCTGCATTTGTCCTCTACAATGTGCCACGAGCAACTCCCTTTGAAATCACCAATGATCCCTTGGTGATTCTCCACTTTGATTTGCAAAATAGTTCTCGTATCCATATTCGTCTAAAGTAATTCCCGAGATCAAGTTCATCCGCAAATTAGGTACATATCGCACATCCTTTAAAACCAATGTGCATCCGACATTTGTCTTGATACAAATGTCACCGATCCTCGCAATTTTTGAGTAACTTGTGTTACCCATTCTCACAAGGCCGAAATCACCTGTTACATATCTGCAAAAAAGATCTATTACCCGTGTGGCATGGTAAGATGTTGTTGTATCAACCACCCATTCTGACTCTAGACCTGATAAGTGCATGCATTCCTCTTCCTCGTTTATATAGAGGACAACATTATCATTATTTTGCACCATAGCGGCTGTGTTGTCATCATTCTTCTGGCAACTAGTTTCACCTTTGCCTTTCCTTGGATTTGGGAAATCTCTTTTGAAGTGACCTGGTTGATCACAATTGTAGCAATTTCTAGCTCTTGATTTGGATCGGTTCTTAAACTTTCCACGAGCTCCGGATCTACCATAGTTGCTCGAACTCCTTTGATAACTCCAGCCTCTACCTTCTGTGATGAGAGCATGTTCTTGATTTTCAGGCTTCTTTCTCTTCTTCTCATTGAGTAGAAGAGCCAATGTGACATCTTTCAACTCAATGGTAGTCTTACCGTGCAGGATGGTTGTTGCCAGATTATCGTACGAAGATGGAAACGAGTTCAACAACAAGATGGCTTTTTCTTCTTCCTCAATTTTCACCCCGAGATTGGCGAGCTGTGTGATTAGTCTGTTAAACACATTTAAATGTGACAAAAAATTCGTACCTTCACCCATGTGCAGAGCGTATAGCTGCTTCTTCAGGTATAATTTATTTGTTAGCGTTTTGGACATGTATAGGCTTTCCAACCTTGTCCAAATGCTACGTGCGGTGTCTTCATCAATGATGTTATTTACCACATCATCTGATAAGTGCAACCTGATTGCACTAGCTGCCCTTTCATCCAAGTCAGGCCAATCCTTAGCTTTCATGGTATCAGACATTTTGGCATCAATATCTAGTACCTTGTGTAATCCTTGTTGGATGAGCAGATCTCTCATCATTCTTTGCCATGTTGAGAAACCGCTATCTCCGTTAAATTTTACTACCTCGTACTTTACTCAGGATATTTTTATTTTTCACCGAGTATAGTATTACCGACAGTGAATAGTATTCTTGTAAACGAGCAGAACCTTTGCTCTAATACCAGTTGTTGGGAATAAACCCCTAGAAAAATAATATTCACAGTAATAAAAACGGAATAATAACGTAGCATCGAGATACAGTAATTAATAAGAATAAAAGAGTGACAACGACACCAAGATTTTTACGTGAAAAACCCTTTTGAATAAGGGATAAACCACGGCCCTGAGTGGAGCAACTGATATCACTATAGCAAGGAATTTATACTTTGTAGGCCCGAGTAAAATACTCCAAAGACCACTACAACACTAAAAAAAATAACCCTCTTTTGATATTCCCATCTCACTCCAATATCGCTCACTTTCTATTTTTCTCACAGACTATTTTCTTATACTCTGTCTGTGATGACTCACTCTTTCTTTCTCTCTTTGTTGGTGTATTTTACAATGAGAGAAAGACACATATTTATAGTATTTAAGATTGCTTTATTGATGTCATCAATGATCTCATGAGTTTGACAAGAACTAAATATTTAATGTGAAACTAAAAAAATATTTATCATAAAATTTTCTTTACTATTTCTTTAGTTGACTTGATATTTCAAAGTCAATAGAATATATCTTCCTTACACAAGCGGTTGACCCATCAGAAACAGCCGGTGAGGATCTCGCCGCCCACTAACCACATAAAGAGCACATAGGCTAGAAATTGGAAAGGATCACATCCCACTTAACCTATAAATACTTTGCTCACTCTACGCATGATATACAAAGCTATCATTTCGACTAAATCCTTGAAGGATTGGAATTCGCTCTTGTGTAGCTATATCAAAGAACGATGCCCAATAAAAAATTCTTTATTCCATTCTTTAATTCTGCTTTACTTAATTATTTTATTAAGCAAACTTTGGATAATTGTAATTGCTAATGTCTATTTTAAAATCAATTTTGGGTTAAACAACACTCTGCTGCTGCTGACTGCTGTGAACTCCTCGAGATCTCTCTGTCTAACGAAATCGAGCTTGTAAGTTCCTCCATTCTCTACTCTCTGTCAGAAACCCTACTCCCTTCTTCAAAATTATCCTATAGTTAGATAACATGATTGCGAATTGGGTTCATAAAAGATTTAAGTTATAACAGTTGTTAGTCACATTTACAGGTTGATATGCTTTCTTATTTGCCTCAAATGCGATTTTGGCTCTGAAATTATGGGTTTTTACTTATCTTCATTTGGTGTTAGTCATCAGTTATCTGGAAGTTTCTCCTATAGAAAAGGGGAAAAAAGAGAATAATTTGAGTTTAGAAGTTGAAATTCGTTCTTATTTGCTTCCGCTGACATTCGCTCTGAAATAATGAGTATTACAAATCAGCCTTTTGTTATTACGTACTAATAATCAATTATCTGAACGCTTCTCTTATATAGAGAAAATAGTCAGAGAATACGGTCGTAAAAGTTGCATTGACACGACAAAAATCATAAATTCGTATCATTTGTCAATTCCTTCTTATTGTTGAAACAACCGTTTCCAATTTCTAACCCTCCTTGATCTCAGCGTTTGAAACTAGTTAATATTGGAGTATCCCTAAAATTCGTATAAATCCCTCCGCCCTTGGGGTTTTGATATGTTGAATAATTATTACTTAGTGTATAATAATAATTTTGAATGATTAGAACGTCTTCCAAGTTTTCTTTTACAGATTTTAATTTTTGTGTTGGTTGGATCTTTCACTGTTACTGGAGCTTAGTGTGCTGATTGAATTGATCTCCATTTTTATATTTTTATGTGTTCTATTGTTCTGCTGGTAGTAAGACAAATGCAGAGACGAACAAATGAATGGTTATTAGCTAATCATAGAAATGTTTCCTATGACCAAAAGGTGGTCTCACAGTTATTGAGTAGCAATCATATTCAACAAGTTTAGTAGAGATATTAACATAGCATAAAAGATGGATATCGCTTGGATTTAACGTAAACTGATTGATTACAATTAAGGAAAATATGTTTACCTCTTGAGTGGCTGATGATAATGTGGAGATAGGCAACAGCAGCAGAAAAGGTCTTGTATTGTTAGCATTTGTCCTCCTTAACTGATCTCCCTATGTTGCTAAAATCCTACTCTGCTTCTTTTCTCTTGCAAATGTTTCTCCAGTAGTACAGGTTCCTGATATTACTTTTACTAACCCATGTCAATACATCTTTTCATAGTAACCAGTTATTATGGTTGTCAAACTCTGGAATTCTGTAAAAAGAAAGTATCCCTTGTGAACTATCTTACTGTTTTATGCATGACAACAGTCATATCTGTATACAAGTTAACCTCTTGTTCCATCAGTGCAGTTGAGCTGGTAAAGTAAAAATCTTGTGAACATGGTAATGTATTTGTGGAGGAAATATGCAGATTATGTATACTCAAAATGGGAAAAGACAATTCTTTGGGACATTGTTGAACCATACAGGAGACCAAGATCATTTACTCCTCCGGTCACAATCTACGTCTGTGCATTTTATACTGGAGTTATCGGGGCAGTCATCACTGAGCAACTCTATAAGGTATGGTGGCATCAGGTCATTGGGTTAACACTGTATCAATGTCATTACTGATGCTTAGATATTTTACTCAGATATGTTATAATGATCTGTTAAACACTTGCCCTTTCTTTTTGACACATTTGGGTAATAGTAGCTTCAGAAGTTGAAAGTAGTGGCTTGCTGAAAGATGGTTTTGGGAAGTACACTATAGGTACAGGGATCACTATATTAGACTTCCCTTATTTACTTCCTGGAACCTTGCTTCTTTGGTTGAGAAGGAGGTGGTTGGGTCGGCAAGCAGTCATCCATCAATCCCTTGTTTTACAGAGGACAGGCACTTAGTGATGAGTGCAAGCAGTTTAACTTTTGCTCCCTTGGAGGTGATTTCCTTCTTGTGTGTCACACATTGTTTGCCTCACTGCTACAAGTAATGGATCCATCACCATTGACAACTGAGTTTCGAACTTTGCGCGAGCTGAACCTCGGGGACTTCTCGGTTATCAAAAAAGATATGTGTTTTAGTTCTAATCTAGGAAAGTTAACAAGATGGTAAATCTAATAATCTACATTAGTTAACAAAAAGAATATGTAAACTGTGTAGCATAAGCATGAGTCAAAAATGAGCTTTCTCAAGGAACAAAAGGAAGAGTCAGGATATTAAAAGTATAGAGAAATTTATAGGAAGAGAGTGGTGCTTTCATTGGTTTCTTTTTTAACATGCTGTATCTATTTGTGTTGCTTCAAGTTTGCCGTTAAAGTGAAACTACAGCGCAATTTGGGATCAAATTTGACTCTGAGATCAACTGAAAATTTGGATTTTTATAAGCTAAGATCAGAAAAAAAAAAAAAAATCATAGAATCTGTATCCTACTAAATCCATATAAGGAAGTTCGTCAGTGTTATTGTCTATTCCTTACGCAAAATTTGACTGCGAACATACTATCTCTTCTTACCACTATGATTATAATGTACAAGTTAAGGAGTGAATGTCTGTCTTCCTATGTTAGAACCTCAATGCAGTCAAAATTGGAGGATTATCTGCATTTTTATGTCTCTACTATTTAAGTTGGTTCTCTTTCTTTTTGCTGATCCTGTCTTGTAAGACTAGATTAATCGCTTTTTTTTTTTTTGGTATCTATCTGCTACATGGAATGAATTTTCATTGCTCAAGATCATTACCCATTTCCACTTGTGAAGACTATTATGAGAGATGTAAATTCTTCTGATCAACATAAGAGGCTTGGGGTTATGTCCCGGTCCCGTCCCGTCCCACTTAATTCTAAACGGGATGGGCCCATGTTAAACGGGACACGGGATGGGACGGGATGACCATTTCGTCCCGTTTGTCCCGTCCCGTCCCGTCCCGTTCCGTCCCGTCCGGTCTCATCCTGTCCCGTCCCGCCTGTCCCGCGTCCTTTTTTTTTTTTTGAATTCTAGCCGTTGGGCAATGGCTCCAATTGCTTACTAAATTTTATAAAAAATTTATTATGCTACAAAACAATTTTCTGATATATATTATCCTACTGTTACACAAATATTATGGTATATTTGTGGAATTTCTGTTGTATTTGGTAAGTATAAAACTAATCCAACTAATGCACCGGCCATTAATGAAATGATTGTAAAATCTAAAAAGTATTTTTTCCATATTCCCCAAGTTTATTTAATTTCTACTATACTTAACCCATACTTGTTCATAAAATTTATGAGAATTTAGCAATTCAAGAAAATGAACAACCATCTCTCGAAGACTGCCAAGCTAACATATACTCTTATGTTAGATCAATGTTTGATAAATATAAATTTATGGAAACAACAGGTGGTGAAACTGCTTCTTCTACTTCTAAGTCTAGAGTAGAAGTTCTATGGGAAGATATGAATGATATAACAGGTTTTGATTTCTCTATTGATGATGAACTTGATTCTTATCTTAATCAAAGATTGGAAAGTATTAAAGACGAAGAAGGCAACAAACAACTTTTGGCATGGTAGAGGGAGCGTGGCAATACTTTTCCAACACTTTCAATAATGGCCTGAGATATCCTTTCTATTCAAGCATCATCAGTACCATCGGAGAGTGTTTTTAGCGCGGCAAGATTTCAAATCGGAGATCATAGACATTCATTAGCGGAGGACCCTACCTAGGAGGTGGCTGCGTAGATTATGTGCTCTTCAAAAGAATTATATTTGTATGTGAGATTTGAAAGTTCTATTAATAAAATAAAAGGCTCTAAGCGTTTGAATTTTTTTTATGAATTGTCTTACACTCTTACTTAATTACTTAATGACTTGAAATTATATTAAATAAATTATAACTCTATTATAAATTTATAATTACTAGAATATTTCATTACAAGTCTTTTGTTTTAATATTTTATAATTCTTTACTTAGTTTCCTAATTTTTGTTTAATTTTTAAGTTTATTAAATAAGTTAAAAAACTAGTTGTTGCAAACTTTAAAGACTTAGTCATTGTCAAAAGAATAACCGTTGCCAAACTCAATGCTTAAATAATTTTTTTTTTAAAAACGACACTTAAGGCCCGCGAACCCGTCCCGTTTGTTAGCAGGACGGGATGGGCCTACTGTTTCGTCCCATTTGTCCCGTTTCGTCCCGTCCCGTCACCGTCCCGGCTAAATGTCGTCCCGTCCCGTTAATTTTATCCCGTCTCGTCCCGTCCCGTCCCGTTGGACAGCCATAGGGTTATGCATGGAGGATCAAACGATTTACTTTTCTGTGATAGTCTGTTTTTCTTCAAAAATCTTGTCTTAATATAAAAGCTTTGTCTCTTCATTTTGACAGGAGAAATACTGGGAAAGAACATTCTGGGGAAGCAGTGCCTCTAATGAAACCAATGTTTTATGGTGGCCCTTGGAGAGTAATGAGAGGGGATGTTCCTCCAACCGGAATGTTCAATGCCTGAGCTTCAGCTCATGCTTAAGCTCCTTCAAATGGCTGTGATTCTCGCGAATATCTGTGAGTGAATTCTTGTTTGGCATGATGGTTTTGCAGTTCACTTTGACCAATTTGGTGGCTGGACGGCCTGGTAATAATTTGATATAAATGCTTCTTCTCATTTCATTTGGCAGTATGAGTATAGTATCTGGTTCTTACCTTGTCATCCAATTTAGTTCAAGTTCTATTGAAAGGAATGACACAACTTATATTTTACAGATAAAGGGTCAGAAATGCCCCTAATGCCCCTAACTTATTGGAAATGGCTTAAATTTGTCATGTTCTACCTATTGGGCCAAAATTGACCTAAACATTAATTTTTTGGTTAAAAATGCCCCTCTTTTTATCAGAACTATGAGATGGCAAATGTGGGTCCTTTAATTAAATAGGTGTCACTGATGTATTGGTTCATGTGGCGTTAGACCCATAAATAACCGACCTATCCGGGTTAACATAAAACAACTAAAAGCCAATTTAGTTCAGCAACAATGGTGGAGTCGATTTCACCGAGCTAGAATCAATTCGAGTTCAGCAATTTCACCACTACACTTGGATTAATAGATACTGAAGCAATGCTTTAAGCTTAAAATTCAATCCTCACAGCAAGGTACTGAAGCAGTGCTTTAAGCTCCAATCAACTTTAGTCAAGCAGATTAACACAATTGATCTCAGCAAAGAAACCCAGCAGTAGAGGATTCAACAATGCCCACTACGAGCTCCTCGAACCAGCAACTATTCCCGATTCTCAGCCTCAATTCAATAGGGTTTCAAAATGATTTCAACAAACCTTAATTAGTACTTCAAATTTTTATCAACCCCAGATTTGTTCTTTAGAAGGAATTTGAAAATTTCAACCAACAGACTGCAAAGTCAGTATAAACTTCTCAAAGACCGTAGAAGTGATGATAAACTTCTCAAAGACCGTAGAAGTGATGTTTTGAAACGAGAAATAACTCAAAATCCTTGATTCAAAAGTCGAAACACCCAATTGATTCCGCGACGAATTTTCAGGTTCCAAATCAACTCAAGCTTTCGGATCGTTCAACAATGGCAATTCAAAGTTTTCTGGTACAAATTCAATATTTCCAACAAGTATTGGCATAAATCAATTTATAATGGTTTCCAGCCTCGAAATGAACAAATTTCAAAATCTTTCCACAAACTTCAGATATGTTCATACCCCGTTCCTTCAATGCTTTGCGTTTTACGACTGACATCTGAAGCTACGATTTTTGATTCAAAACTGGTGCAAACAAGCTCCGATCAATTTTATCTCTAAGTTCGACTAAGCTTCTTCATCCTTTAACAATGGTGGATTCTTCACATTCCAGCCCCAACAATCGCCAAACACTGAACAAACAAATCCAAATGGTTGAGGTTATTTCTCGGTCGGGTCGAATGCCACGTGGACCAATACATCAGTTGTCACGACCCAATTTCACCTATAGGTCGTGATGGCGCCCAACACTACGGCTAGACAAGCCAACTTAATAAATTAAGTATTCATTGACTAAATTTAAAACCAATAGAAATAATAAAACTCAAATTCTACCAATATATGTGCCAAGACCTGATGTCAGAAGTGTACGAGCATCTAGTAGATTATACAAAACCTCAAATACTGTCTGAAATAAAAATAGACAGAATTAAAAAAAAATTACAAAGAGAGACACTAGTAGCTGCAGAACGTATCAGAGAAACAGCTCACCACTATGCCCCTGGATAACGTGGGTGTAAGACGATAGGTCCCCCACTAGTACTTGCCTCAGTTCCTGCACAAAAAGTGCAGCAAATGTAGTATGAGTACGTAAACAACGTGTATCCAGTAAGTATCCAGCCTAATCTCGAAGTGGTAGAGACGAGATGGCCGACTTTGACACTCACTATGGGTCAATAATAATAATTGAAATACAACTAGGATATTTAAATCAGCATGATTTACAGAATTTAAAATAATTTATTTAATCAGCGAAAATAATCAAATTTCTTCAAATGCAACAATTCTCAATATATTAATTAAATTCCTTCAATTCAATAATTTCCAATTTATCAATTAAATATAATTTACAGGAATAACAATTAATTCTTTAACAAGCAAGAATAATAATTCATTAAATTCCAAGGATTTTCCAATTTATCAATTAGCTTCGCAAGCTGAAATAATCTATTAAAGTATTGTGTAATTATTATTATTATTAAGCACGATTTCTGAAGAGGACGTGCGCCCCGATCCAGAGTGTTGTGTACACTGCTGAGGGACGTGCGGCGCGATCCATAGATGCATCTATCCTGCCGAGGCGTTCGGCCCGCTCCACAAGAAAGGAGAATATTTTTTATGTACCTCCGGAAAGAGAGTATATTTATTATGAGATAAATTCGGGAGGAAGAATAATTTCTGTTAATAATTAATTGATTTAAACAGAAATCAAGCATATGAGATTTTCATCCTTTAATATCTCTATCTAACAATTCACAATATATTTATATATATCAATTTAATATTAATAAATCAGGGAATACAATTTACACAAAAAATTCATGCTTTGAGTCCTAAACTACCCGGACTTTAGCATTTATAGTAGCTACGCACGGACTCTCGTCACCTCGTGCGTACGTAGCCCCCGCAATTAGCAACAATTATTCAATTTAATCCCTATGTAGTAATTTCCCCCTCACAAGATTAGACAAGAGACTTACCTCGTCTGAAAGTCCACTTTCCGATTATCGCGTCGCGTAATATTCTCGATTCAATACCGAAAAATCCGAAACTATCCAAAAGTTATATAAAATAATTAATATATGTTCAATAATTCGAAATTCATCTATTAAATAAATTGCCCTATCCAAAATGGTAAAATTTCTAAAATTTATCCCGGACCCACGTGCTCGGATTCCGAAAATTTTCGGATGAAAACGTTACCATAATCTCAAGAACTCAAATATATAATTTCTATCCAGTTCCATAACCATTTTCGTGGTTAAAATCTCATTTTTATAAAAATCTAGGTTTTTCACCTAAACCCTTGATTTCTAAGATTTACTAGTTATAATCTACCCATAATCTATGTATTTAACTCAAAGGGTGTAGAATTAACTTACCTCCAAGTTGTTAGTTGAAAACTCCTCACAAAGAGCTCCAAAATGGCCCAAGTATGAAAGAAAATGGGCAAAAATGGTGAATTTCCGTTCTTTTAAGCTTTTTGCCAAACAGGTCTTTCGCACCTGCGGAAGTTGGAACGCACCTGCGGCTCCGCACCTGCAGAAAAATCCTCGCAGGTGCGAGTTTCACTTGCCTGGCCAATTCTCGCATTTGCGCACAAAGTTTCGCACCTACGCGTTCGCAGGTGCGCAAATCGTCCGCATCTGCGGTGGATTGCCCCTTCCCTTTTTCGCTTCTGCGCTCAAAATCTCGCATATGCGAGTACCGCGCCTGCGAGCTTCTGTCGCATCTGCGAATGTCGCACCTGCAACTGGCCAAGCGCAGGTGCAATTCTGACAGTAGCGGGGAGCTTCAGTTTTGGCTCCGAACTTCCAACTTGGTCTGAGCCTCGTCCGATTGACACTCGGGGTCCCCGGGACTCCGCCCGAACATACCAACAGGTTTGAAATCATAAAACGGACTTGCTCGAACTCTCGGAACATGTAAAACATCATCAAATCTAAGAATCATACCCTAAATCAAATTGATTCAAACTTAAGAATTTCAAGTTCTTCAATTTACTTCCAATGCGCCGAAATATACTTAAACTACTCGGAATGACATGAAATTTTGCGTGCAAGTCTTAAATTATTATACGGAACTATTCCCAAACTCGGAATTCCAAACGGACTTCAATTACTCAAAATCCTACTCCAAACCAAATTTAAAGAATTTTAAACCTTCAAATAGTTGATTTTTACTATTAAGCGTCAAAACGCTCCCGGGTAATCAAAAACTCGATTCGGACATACGCCCAAGTCCAAAATCATCATACGAACCTATTGGAATCATCAAATCCCGATTCCGCGGTCGTTTTCTCAAAATATTGACCGAAGTCAAACTTGGCCTTTTAAGGCTAACTTAAGGAACCAAGTATTCCGATTTCAACCCAAACGCTTCCAAATCCCGAACCAACCATCCCCGCAAGTCAATAATCATTAAAAGCACATACGAGAAATTTTATTTTAGAAAACGGGGTTCTAAAAGTTAAAATGACCTGTTGGGTCATTACGTTCTCCACCTCTTAAACAAACGTTCGTCCTCGAACGGGTTTAGAATAAT